GCTTATATATTTCAGTGATTGTGTTTACATCTACTTTAACAAACTACGCTTGCGGTCTTTGAATTGCACTGCTTAAGTACATTTTCTTATGTGCCTTGTCTGTAATCTCAGGTCTGTACACCATAACAACCCTTATAAGGACCAATATTTGTCCACAGCAACTCATTGATGGCTAGCTCTTAAATTGTCAACACCTTAACTATGTTTGTTCTCTTTTGCTTTTGTTTTAGATTACAACTTTGGCTTGGGTTGATTACAGGGCATCAGGCAGTTGTTACTAACAGAGCGTTCAAGAGCTGGCTTTTTTCACAGCACCTCACCGCAAAAAAAAAAAAAATACACTCAAAACACCACACACTATTACCCCAGATGCACTGCAATCATGTGCCATATTCCAACATTTCCAAAAAAATGTTAGTTATAGCCTTTAGGAATGATTTGCTAAAAGTTAGCAACCAGCAGGACAGTACGAATACGTGACTGGGTAGAATAGGCTAAAATGTGGAATTAGGCTAGGTTCATACTGCTGCGATCCAACTTTGATCTGATTTTTAGTGCGATCAGGTCCTTCAACTTTAAAGCGGTAGTAAACTGCAGATATGAAGAAAAAAAAACCCTGCAAGGCATCGCATATTAGCACATTATGAAGGACTTACCTTTAAACAAAGCACTCCAGCGGTGCACAGTCACCACTGATAGGGCTTCCATCTTCACCCAGTATTCCTTCCAGGTTTGCAAGACTGGTCAAGCCTTGATGATGTCACTTCCACGCATGACATGACGCATGGCATCACTCCCATGACACAGCGCTATGAAGGAATGGCTCTGGTATGCCGTTCCTTCAGAGAACATGCGCCAGCTATAAAAAAGAGCTAATATCTCCTAAACGGTGCACATTTAGTAGATATTTTACCTACACCTTTAAACGAAACACTCCAGCCGTGCGCAGTCACTACTGTTAGGGCTTCCATCTTCACCTGGTCTTCCTTCCAGGTTTGTGAGACTGGTCAAGCCACTTCCACACATGGCATGATGCATGGTGTCACTCCCACGACGCCATGCATCATATCTCCTCAACGGTGCACGTTTAGTATTCATTTTACCTACACCTTTAAATGAAGCACTCCAGTGGTGCGCAGTCACTACTGATAGGGCTTCCATCTTCACCTGGTCTTCCTTCCAGGTTTGTGAGACTGGTCAATCCATGATGACGTCACTCTCATGCATGGCATGACGCATGGTGTCACTCCCACAACGCCATGCGTCATATCTCCTAAACGGTGCACGTTTAGTAGATAATAATTTTGCCTACACCTTTAAAGAAGCACTCCAGCAGTGTGCAGTCACCACTGATAGGGCTTCCATCTTAACCCGGTCTTTTTTCCAGGTTCGCGAGACCGGTCAAGTCGCAATGACGTCACTCCCATGCATTACATGACGCATGGCGTCACTCCCATGACGCCATGCATCATATCTCCTAAACGGTGCACGTTTAGTATTCATTTTACCTACACCTTTAAACGAAGCACTCCAGTGGTGCTCAGTCACTACTGATAGGGCTTCCATCTTCACCTGGTCTTCCATCCAGGTTCGCGAGCCTGGTCAATCCATGATGACGTCACTCTCACGCATGGCATGACGCATGGTGTCGCTCCCACGACGCCATGACTCATATCTTCTAAACGGTGCACATTTAGTAGATATTTTTTTTGCCTACACCTTTAAACGAAGCACTCCAGAGCTGCGCAGTCACCACTGATAGGGCTTCCATCTTCGCCCGGTCTTCCTTCAAGGTTTGCAAGACTGGTCAAGCTGCGATGACGTCACTCCCACACATGACATGATGCATGGTGTCACTCCCACTACACAGTGCTCTGAAGGCATGACACAGGTATACCGCTCCTTCAGGGCACATGCGCCAGCTATAAATAAAAGCTAATATCTCCTAAACGGTGCACATTTAGGCGATATTCATTTTACCTACAGGTAAGCTTTATTATAAGCTTACCTGTAGGTAAAAGTATTAAATGAGACTTTACTACCACTTTAATAAGGTCTCCATATTCTATGGGGCCAAAACTGCACTGGAATCGCACCAAAGTAGTGCAGGAAACCTTTCCAAAATTGCACTGTGCTGAGTCGCATTGATGTGAATAGGTGCCATTGAAAACAATGTGATTTCCATTGTCATGCGATTCTGTGCATCAGAAGTTACACTAGTGTGAACAAAGCCCTACAAACAGGCAGGTGTTTTGCTACACTGTAAATTCAATTGTAGCATTTCAGAGATGTTAACATGCCTGGCAACAACCGCATAAATACCAAAAATACAAAAAAAAAAAACCCAGAAAAAGTAAAACAAATAAATAAATTCATATATAAAAATAAAAAATAATACAATGAAACTGTGTTACTGCAGTTGAGAAGTTCCTTCAACAAAGCCCCAGATAATAATAATTCTTCTCCATTCTGTCCAAAACCAAAATAAATTTTTTTCTTTACTGATGTTACACTTTGAAAAAAGTTCTCTGCTCTAGTAAAACAAAAATGCATTGAGATGTCCAAACACAGAGCACATAGAGGGACCAGAAATCCAACCTACCCAAAGTGTTGACCTACCTAAAGAGTCGAATGTGAACAGACCATTGCTTTGCAAGAGAGTAAAGATCAGAGCCAATTAAATTAAATTAAATTAAATGTTAAAAACCTTCTTCTTCTGCAGGTCGTTTTTTGTGACATTCAAGTTGATTCTAGGCAATAGGTGAAATTATTCAATGAACTAGTAACACTTAGGGGTTGTGATTATACAAAAAAAAGGAGCTGTTTGTCCTGTGAAACTGCATGTACATTATTTCTGTGCGAATAAGGGCAAAATCGATGTTATTATCCTATTTTCTCTCCGGGTCAAATGTATATTCATTCATAAAGAATAGAGTAGTTTGGGAAAATACCATTTTATGGCCATTAGATGGAGCTGACAATCATAGTAAAAAAATATTTTTAATGATCATCACTCCATCTAGTGGCTATAATGTGGTATTTTCACTATTCTATATGAATGGATAAAATTCGACCTAGAGTGAGAATAGCCTAGTAACATTTGATTTTGCCCCCATTCGCACAGAACGACTATGAATGCAGTTTCACAGGATTAACAGCTCTATGAATTTGTTATAAATACAGCTTAGGCCAAAACGTCTATTTAATTTACTGTTAGGGCCTGTCTATAGGGGTGTTTGCTCCACATCAGCACTATTTTACTCTACAATACAATAGGAATGCTAAAGCACTTTGACGCAGCTTACAAGGAAGTCTAATAAATGTCAGAAGAACCTCTGCAAGACTTCAAAAGGAATTCAGAAGCATCTCAAATTGATCTCACATACAAGCCACATGTACCTGAAAGCACCTTACGCTAAATTGTTATGCAGTGAGTTCAACTGTTCAAATCTGCAACTCGTTGTGTAAACTAGGAACCGTGGGGACCTGCATTTGTGTAGACTCCATTTCAGATCCATTTTATAAATAATAGGATTTATCGAGTGTGGAAGGCCAGGTGCAGAAGATGAGTGACAGGGAAAAAATGATATTCGCTGAGTAGGTGACTGAGTTCAAATACAAAATGTTCATGTCTGACTAGAGAGTAAGTTTAAACAAAGCTATGAATTCCATCCAAAAATCTTATTATATTTGTCTAAGACGAAGTGTATAACTTCCATCACACCCTCCAATGGTCCATCAAGTCCTAAGCAAGAATGGCGATTATTAGGCCTTTTTCCAGCAGCCTCTACTTATCACTGGTTTTGCAATTTCCATGACAACTACTAAGGCTCAGTGGATAATAAAGCTTTGCTTTCGAAGCCCTGCAGATAGTAAAGAAATGGTAACTGGAGACACATCATTTTAGTATAAAACCATCAAATTTCCATTGCCTCAAAATCAAATGATTTTAATGTCCCAAAACACTGATTTTTCAGAGCCACCGGAGACGCTAAATGAGGGTCAGGTCGGAAAGCCAATTTAAATGTAAGTAACCCATGAATAAATGATGTCTGTTAATTCCCAGCACCAAGATTTATATTTAATTAAGAAAAAATACTGAATGATGGGTAAAAGAAAGAGCAGAAACAAAAGAGGATAATTAAATCTTCATGGCATTTTTTTAGCTCCCTGAGCAATGGGACCCAAGGAGACCTCACTTACCGTTAAAGTGGAAAGCTTTGACTGTAGAAATTCACAAAGTCGCTGATGGCAAACAATGAACAGAGAACAACGATGTTCCAATTTTGTACAAAATTCAGGGACTTGTCTTCAATAACTTGGTACATGAAGTTTGAGCTGAAGAAAAAAGAATTTGGGACAATTTAAGGTTCGAATCAATAAAATATAAACTTCATTTCAAAACAACAAAACTAACAAAATTCAAACTATAATTTTAATATTCTATACACATAATTTTTAACATGTTAAAGCAGAATTGTAATCAAAATCAGAGCTCAGCAACCCTGCCTACCAGAAGGTAACAAAACTTCAAATGCAACATACAGCACTAGCCAAATATAAATAATTCATACTTTAACAAATGATCTATAGAAATAAAAAGAAAGGCATTAAATCTGTTATTTTTAAATATGTAACAAAAGGCTTGAACAAAACGCCTTTGGTTGTAGAAACTACTGCTCTCAAATTCCATGTTGGTGTGATTGTGATTTGATCATGTAATTTCTGATGGAAGGAGGGATCAGGATTGGGTGCGTCACCCATTCAAAATTGATATGACCTGTCATGTGATCAAATGCCTAGGCAACTGGAGGTCTTATTGTGACAATAGTTTATTTATGATGTCAGCAAACTATGCACTACCCTTATCTCTACACTCAGAGTAGGCATGCTTGTTTTCATTATATCAATTTGATATTATTTTTCAACTGATCTTAATATGATTATTTAATATAAATGAGGATTAATGCTGAACTCTAGGGGAAAAAATACAATATACAGAGACTGCGGACATAGTACGGGAGATGACCAGAGAATGTGGACATAGTGCAGGAGATGACCAGAGACTGCGGACATAGTACAGGGGATGACCAGAGACTGCGGACATAGTACAGGGGATGACCAGAGACTGCGGACATAGTACAGAGACGACCAGAGACTGCAGACATAGTACAGGAGATGACCAGAGACTGCGGACATAGTACAGGGGATGACCAGAGACTGCGGACATAGTGCAGGAGATGACCAGAGACTGCAGACATAGTACAGGGGATGACCAGAGACTGCAGACATAGTACAGGGGATGACCAGAGACTGCAGACATAGTACAGGGATGACCAGAGACTGCAGACATAGTACAGGGGATGTCTAGAGACTGCGGACATAGTACAGGAGATGACCAGAGAATGCAGACATAGTACAGGAGATGACCAGAGACTGTGGACATAGTACAGGAGATGACCAGAGACTGCGGACATAGTACAGGAGATGACCAGAGAATGCGGACATACTACAGTAGATGACCAGAGACTGCGGACCTATGGGGAGCGGGTACCTGAATTTGACAGGTACCCGCACCCACTTCTGCAGAGTTGTCCTCCCTCTCCATCTTCTGGGACACCTGACAGGACCCAGAAGACTGCTGGACCATTCACAAAGCGCAGTGGGCACCCAGCTGTATAGCTGCAAGCTGTCACAGCCGAGTGCTCACACTAAAGATGCCGGCACCAGGGAGAGAAGACGGTGAGGACAACACTGGACTGAGGAACAGGTAGGACTGAGGAGCAGATTCTGCTGCACAGAAGAGCCGAGTGGCTGGCCCGGTATTTTATTATGGTGGCGGCGGGAATACCGGGCCGGCCACTTCATATTCGCTCCATAAGACACACATACATTTTCCCCTATTTTTTTGAGGAAAAAAGTGCATCTTATGTAGAGAAAAATACGGTATATAAACAGTAAATACTGTATATATATATATATATATATATATTTACCACTTCAATACTGGGCCAATTGTGACACTTCTCACATATATGTAAAAATCTACATTTTTTTGCTAGAAAACCCCCAAACATTATGTATATATATATATATATTTATATATTTTTTTTTTTTTAGCAGAAGACCTAAAGAATAATGTGTAACGAAATATTTTATGTCACACGGTATTTGCGCAGCGGTTTTTCAAACGCAGTTTTGGTTTTTTTTTAAATACACTTTAATTAATTTTTTTGAACACAAACAGTATATAATACACAACTTTGTTTTGTAAAATATAAAAGATGATGTTACGCTAAGTAAATAGATACCATGTAACACTTTGCAAAATTGCATATGCCCATGGAATGCAGCCAACTATGGTACCTAAAAATCTCCATAGGCGACAATTTAAACACCTTTACAGGTTACCAGTTTAGAGTTACACAGGTCTGAAGTTAAAAGTATTGCTCTCACTCTGGCGTTCATGTTGCTACCTCACGTGTGCTGTGATCACTGTTTACAAATGAGGGAGGGGGGGGGACTTACATATGCATTCACATTTGCACGTGAGCAGAGGGGGATCGGGGGCGCTTAAACTATTTTTTTTATTATTATTATTATTATTATTATTTATTTTATACTGTCCCTTTGAATTTTTTTTAATCAACTTTATTGCTATCTCAAAGGGCTGTGACAGGTCCTCTTTATGCAAAGATCTGGGGTCTATTAATACCCAGATCTCTCCTCTGGCCTCCAATGCAACCGATCAGACATAGATTGGTTTGATCGTTTGATTTCCTGGCTGCTAATGCCCAGGCAAAATAAAGAGCTAAAAGCAGAAGTGACTAAACCTATGTCACTTCAGGTTTCTGGGGTCACAGAGAAAAAGGAACAATGCCAGTAATTGTCTTTGTTCACTGCTGCAGATTCTGTCGGTCAGATTGGCGACAGAGGTGGGAGGAGGGACCCCCTTCCACCTCCCACAGAAGTGATTGATTGAGTCACATCACTTCTGCTTAACAGGGAATAGCCAGCTGCAAATGTTGGTACTGGGATGATGCCTGCAGGCATCATCCCACTATAACCACTTCACTCCAAGGATGTCATATGACATCCACCTTGGAGTGGGAGTGGAAAAATATATATATATATATATATATATATATATATATAGTATAATTCTTTTATCAGTACCCACGAAAAGTAAAAATCTATGTTGTGTACACCAAATGCCTTTGTAGACCCATAGATTACTTTAGTGAAGTACTTCCGACATCATCTCTGAGCTGCACATGCAATGTGCAAGAGCAGAGCTTAAGGTAGATATTCACCCTCTAAAACATAATCCCTACTCTATACCCCTCATCCTGTTCTCTGCACGGATAGAGCTCTTTTTCTTTTTTTACCTCTCTTTTTAAATACAGCCCCACCCCTCCTTGGATGTCATTGGCCTTGGTAAACTATATGTACTTTCCTCCCTTTTTCTCCTGGGATATGCACATCTTGTTTTCCAAGTGACATTCAGTAAAGATGGAGGGGGAGAGCCTAGTGAAGGCACCCCCGGGAGGTGCCTGGATGAACCCTGCACAGCTGGCAGCCTCTCGATGCTGTCATACCAAAACTTGATGGCGCGGGTCAGAGCCCTGCCAGAAGAGAAGAGGATCTCAGCTGGACAACACTGGATCTGTTGGGTGGGTGAGTATCTGAATTGTATAGAACTAACACCAGGTAAGTGGGTTTAAAAAAAAAATGAGGTGGCAGATGAAACCCCACTTTATGGAGGGACACAGCAGGACCCAGTACAGATTGCCTGCAGAAAACTACAAGGGGAGGAGATACAAGACAGGTCAACCTGCACAAAAGAGATAGTGACCACAGGAACCGCTTTTAAAGTGGTTGTTAAGGCAGAAGGTTATTTAACTTACTGTAGTCAATGCAGTAAGGTAAAAAACCTTCTGTATCCAGCTCCACCCCCCCCCCCCCCGCAGCCCCCCCAAATGCATACCTGAGCCTGATCCTGATACAGCCTAGGCTGTCTCAGCTCTCTCCCACCTCACTGGATGCAGCAGCAGGAGCCATTGGCTGCCGCTGCTTGTCAATCAGAGCTAGTGATGAGGAGAGGAGAGTGGGGCTGAGGTCTTATGGGCACAGACAGCAGGGCTCAGAGGAGCGCACACACAAGAGTGCTCTCAGAGCAAGCGGCTTGCTCTGGGGGTACTCAGCACAGGGGGGTTGGAGCCAGGAGCACCAAAGTAGAACCCCAGATAAGGAATTTTGGGACTGCTCTGTGGAAAACCATTGCACAGAGCAGGCAAATACTCTATACCATGTTTGTTATTTTAATAAAAAAAAAGTGAAACTTTACAGTCACTTTAATTACAGGACGTTTCCACACAAAGCAAAGCGCAAGAGTTGTTTCAAGCTGGATTACTGCACATATCTGGAGGAAATACACAAAGAACAACACATTTTGTGTATTTAGGTAATATTTGTTTCATCTGAATATCTGTTTTAAAATGGCGGGAACCCATCATAATAGAATGATGAATGTTGCCATCCCTGGTTTAGGAGTGCAAGCTCATTTTAATTTCTGTACTACCACTTAGCAAGCCCCCAATTCAAAACAAGTATGCAACCAGAGAAGTCAGATCTCGCAACAGGCTTGTTCCAGAACAGTACAATTGTTATGTAGGAAAGCAACGATAAGCATGCCAACCTTATAAAAAGCAAACTAACAATGGTAGTCTCCATATTCGTTTTCTAACAGCCCGTTTTGCAATTTTTTCAGTAAATGTATATATAGGCTTATGGGCTATAAGGGAAATATTACATAATCACTGGTAGCTCTTTAAAGCCTCAAACCCTCACTTGTGGTGTGTTTTGCTTTAAAGATGGCTTTCCCAGATCATTGTTAAGCATCACGAATATTGTATAAACATGACGTTATTGGTGTTTATATTACATCTAAAATATTCATGCTGTAATAAAATTTGGCCCAAAGCAACGAGACTGTGTTGCTATGTTCCAGTACTTGTTTATTAAAAGCTATTTAGCAAAATGCACTGCATACTCTGTGCTTGCCATTCCGTTGTTCGGTCTTAAAACTGAACAAGATGATGAAAGTTAGAAAGACACAGGAAGCCACATGATCAGCTTGTCTAGGGGGAAATTATGTTGTGATAGCATTCTCCTGTCTGGCTTCCTTTTTAAAAAAAATATTAATTTCCAGGATATTTGTCCTGAACACCAGACATGGATCAAAGCATTGATTAGAAAGTGTACCATAAATTTGGTTAAATTGTGCATGTACAGTTCCCAGTTCCCCTTGTGACTAATGAAGGAAACACAATGATCTGTCTGTGATTCCTATTCATACAGCAGATGTGACAAGTTCCTCACAGGTCATTTCTACCATGTAGAAAGATACACATTATGTCTTAGGTGGTGTCTTCTAGGGGCCATGTGAGACACGATTTTTATTAGGCCTTAAGGTCTTCACCTTGCCAATGGCCATGCTAGCAAAATCAGTTATGACTGAGAAAAAGGCATTGTCCTTGGTGCGGTGAGGTTTGTTGCCTACACAGTAGTCTATCTCTTCTACAAGTATTGCCTTGGTCAATACTAACCTCAGAATGCTCTTGATTTCCATAACTTGGTACTCAATGTTTGCAATGCTAAGCTAAACATAGAGACAGATAATCTTTGTTGGGTTTGCATATCAGCCTGATATGTAAGTACAAGGGACATCTGTCTGCACATCCACACAGGCCTGGACCTGAGGAGGCAAAATTTCCAGCAGTGGCCTAAATCTATGACACCTAAGTGCAGAAACAATTAGTAAGATACATACTAGATCTCAACTGCTGTTTGCAGTGACTCAGGTTCATCCTCTTACAGGTGACCATGAGACCCATGACCAATAAAGATGTACATGGTGTCTCCTCCTAGACCAGTGGTCGGCAAGCCGCGGCTCGCGAGCCACATGCGGCTCTTTACACACTTTAATGCGGCTCTTCTGTGTGCCGGGCGCCCACTCCCCTCCCTCCTCTCGTGCGGCTGCCCCAAAAGTCAGGACTCTGCAGCTAGCCCAGCATTGGGCAAACTACGGCCCGGCGGACCTTTTAATCCGGCCCGCGGAGCGTGGCAAACATTGGCTGTCAGGATGTAGGCGGGGCAGCGTGACGAACTCCTCTCCTCTCACAGTCCGCCCTGAAGCCCGGAACGGCGCGGGAACACGGCGAGAGGAACGCGCGGAGCAAAGGTAAGTGAATTGACACAATATGGGGAATGAATTACTATAGGGGGGATGAATTACTATAGGGGGGATGAATTACTATATGGGGGATGAATTACTATATGGGGGATGAATTACTATGGGGGATGAATTAATATGGGGGATGAATTACTATAGGGGGGATGAATTACTATAGGGGGGATGAATTACTATATGGGGGATGAATTACTATGGGGGATGAATTACTATATGGGGGATGAATTACTATGGGGGATGAATTACTATATGGGGGATGAATTACTATATGGGGGATGAATTACTATGGGGGATGAATTACTATATGGGGGATTAATTACTATGGGGGATGAATTAGTATATGGGGGATGAATTACTATATGGGGGATGAATTACTATGGGGGATGAATTACTATGGGGGATGAATTACTATATGGGGGATGAATTACTATGGGGGATGAATTACTATATGGGGGATGAATTACTATGGGGGATGAATTACTATGGGGGATGAATTACTATATGGGGATGAATTACTA